GCATTATTATTTGTACATTTGCAACAATTATTTGTACAAAAGCAGTCAAAATGACTTCCTTGGGCAATCTAGTGTTAAAATCTGAATTACTCGTGCAATTTTTCGCACGTGTACGAACACCGAAACGTGCCGGAGGTAAGGCAAATTGATGCGAGCGAACGCTATATAAGATGACGGGGACACCGATTCGAGTCAGTCATTCTCTCGCACACTGCGACAACGTCGAGATTGATCAGTTTTTACGCGTTCCGTGATCAGTGATAAACAACAAGAAATTTCACAAGAGGAATCTCGTTGAACGTTTGTTTCCTGCTTGGCAATAATGGATATACGGATCTTGGCATTGTTTCTGTTTATCAGTGTCGCAGGATCGTTCGCTGATCTACGGGCTCCGCTCTTCAGAACTAGGCGAAGTGAGTAGTCATCGAGCGAGAAACACGCAGAACGGAATCACGAAAGTCTCGTGCACTGCACGATTCTCTACTAACGTGGACGCACACACACATACACCGATGCACAAATTCACTGTTCATAGCATTTGTTCCACACTGTCTCGTATAGGCTGTTGATCACACGTTACAGTTAACAATTTTCATAATTAAGGATAAAGCACTCGAAGCGATTTCAAACGTAATCGTGATACTCTCTCCTTTTGTTCATAATTACACTCGCCTTTGTGAATAAGCAGATACGAATGTTGCTTTAAACAGAACTGTGGAAATTATTATTCTAACCACTGAGTTTTCGTCACGTACGCTATGAAGGATAAAACTTGTATTTAATAATATGTTATGTAACATTCGACGTAATCTAAACCGGTAAAAGATGGAAGCAGAATAAATCAATAGATTTTTGATCAAGAAAACAAGCATTTTATGTTTGTCATTAGCAGATTAAATGTTTAGATCTGATGTACAAAATCACAGCCTGGGAAACCTGACGTTAATCGATACCCAGGAACAGGTCTAAGCAGTTATTTATGACACGTACTACGTTTCGTTCTGTTACTTGAAACAAGAATCGGATATTGAAAAAAAAAAGAACTACGCGTGAATAATTTAAGTTTCCAGAAACATGCCTATACGAACATATTTTACGTGTATTCATTCAGTAATTCCGATTGCTTTCCGTCAAGTAATTAAAATGCCATTAAGTCTCCTCATATAATCTATGGGTACAATGTAGCATGTCAATTTTAATTTCATGAAAGATCTCAGTCAGATACTACAAATGAGCAGTATTAAATATAATTAGTGTTTCAATGCCAGGCGAGCAAGTTAATAATAAATCTGATTTAAAATGAGCGGTGAAACAGAAGTGCATGTACAACTCTCACGTTCTTGATTACAGTATTAACATATCTTTGTTTAAAGATTTTAAATAACTGAATCCTTGATTAATCACATTATATTGTTACATACTTCACACTTGAAATATATTTATGTACGATGATATAATAGTTATTGTTAATTGCATCAACTGAAGGAATATTATTACAATCATTTAGAATTCAATGAGTGAAATAAATTTCCATTTTTTTCAAGCATCTTTATAAGAGCTTGAATTTGCATAAGAATCCGCAGTTCACTAGTAACCAATACTACTGCTGCATCTCCATAAAAATACGATAAAAAAAGAAGCGTTTGTTTTTCCAATGCGTGGTTGCCTAATCAGCGAAAAATGCTGGTAAATATTCGTCGTATACGTGTGTACATATCAACGTTGAAAGCGGAAGATTTTCCAATCCTAATAATATCGATAATCGATATTCATCCGTACACATTTACTGCCGCTCGCGCGATGCATTCTCTGCCCGTGGACGACGTGCATCGTGAAAAGATAATAATTCGTCGTAACGTTCGCGGACCGTGATCTCGTTTCAACTTCCACCTTGACCTACGCTGAGATACGCTTTCCTTTAATTTCACTTGTTCTTATTTCCTTTTACAACGGTACTGCAATTTTCATTAGCAGTTTTTGAATGCTCATGCTGTAATAATAAGTGCAAAGGCTATAAAAAAATATTTATTTTTGTATAAAAAATTAATCTCCATTTAAACGGAGAGAGTTAAACTCAGAACTGTTGTCATGGAATTTTCTTGTAACCTTTGGAGCAGGCTACGTTAGACTCCATTAATTCTGAGAACGGCCTTGAATAATACGTCACCTGCTCTCTGTTTATTTTAAGTCGCTTTCCAAATTATGGTTGTAGACAAATTCTGAAATTAAATGATTTACGTCGATAATACCTTGAAGTATAAAAATTTTAATGTCATGAAGTTACGATGAAGATTAAGATTCGATGGATTATCATGCAGCAAACATGTGTAATAAAAACTTTGTAGTGCATGATATGTATATTATTGTAAATGTTTACATTTTCACGTGTTGCACGAGTCGTTGGGAAAATTTATACTTACTTGAGGAAATCAGCGTTTGCACGAATGCGTTTTATCGACTTATGGTGTCATTTTATTGCATGTTCTGTGTTACATGTGAAGTTTCATGTTTGATCTTACTACGTCTATAATAAAAACAGGATAATTTTGTTAATCGAATTGAAGTTCTCGAAAAAGAGAAGACAGGAGAGGCGTTAAAATCTAGCATGTATGTTTAACGTTCAATGATGTTCTGAAACTTGTCTTCTGTGTGCATGCAAAAGGGTGACGGAATGTCCCGAAACGAAACAGTCGGACGACTGCTTGTGAAAGAAGCATGCTAAAAATAACAGTGACATGTGTGAAATGTTGACTACAAAGATGTAAGGACGATTAACAAAAGCAAAAAATGGTGTTTTGTTTCTTTTCATCGACAAAGATGGATTGCAAGAAGAAGATAGCGCATATATGATGGATCTCGTCGAGATATCCAGGGCGAAACGGCAATCCGCAAGTTCGACTACTACTGGAAGCAATAATAAATCCGTTTTCTTCCCACCCATTTCCCCACCAAAATCAGCTACGCCCAAACCTAAAGATACTTCCACAGAAGAACCAGATCCGCCTGATTCAGATTCTACTCCCGATGACAGTACCAAGCCGACTTCACCGATTACGCCAAAGCCAATTTCTAGAATGATGATGCGGACTAAAGCGAAACCAAAAACTACGACTCCCGCATCCACTACACCAGAAACAGATTCCGCGACACCGAATCCGGATCCTGAATCAGATACACCAGAATCAGAAACCTCTGAGGATACTGAGTCTCCAAATTCTGAAGAACCTTCTGAAGAAGCTGACCCAACTACAAAGTCCCCCAAACCGAAATCAAGTACATCGACTCCTAGTCCAAGGAAACCTTCTAAAAGTAAGTCAAACCCACCCAAATCTAATCCGAGTACCCAACCTACTACGACTACTGAGCCTACTGAACCAGACTCTGCAGAACCAGAAGATTCGGATCCTGACTCCCCTAATTCTGAGCCTGAAGATTCGGATCCCACTGATAAATCCACTACACCTAAGACAAATACTCCATCTCCTAGACCAAAGAAGCCTATCAGACCTAGATCTACTCCAAAGAGTAAGCCCACTACGACTACTGAACCTACTGAACCAGATTCAGAACCAAATTCTCAAGAACCAGAAGATTCGGATCCTGACTCCCCTAATTCTGAGCCTGAAGATTCGGATCCCACTGATAAATCCACTACACCTAAGCCAAATACTCCGTCTCCTAGACCAAAGAAGCCTACCAAACCTAGATCTACTCCAAGGAATAAGCCCACCACGACTACTGAACCTACTGAACCAGATTCAGAACCAAATTCTCAAGAACCAGAAGATTCGGATCCTGACTCCCCTAATTCTGAGCCTGAAGATTCGGATCCCACTGATAAATCCACTACACCTAAGCCAAATACTCCGTCTCCTAGACCAAAGAAGCCTACCAAACCTAGATCTACTCCAAGTAGGAAGCCCACCACAACTACTGAACCTATTGAACCAGATTCAGAACCAAATTCTCAAGAACCAGAAGCTTCGGATTCTGAATCTCCTAATTCCGAACCTGACAATTCACCTTCTGATCCAGATGATGAATCCAGTCCACCTGAACCAAATACTCCCGCTCCTACCCCAAGGAAACCTACTAGACCTAAATCAAGCAAACCTAGATCTACTCCAAGTAGGAAGCCCACCACAACTACTGAACCTATTGAACCAGATTCAGAACCAAATTCTCAAGAACCAGAAGCTTCGGATTCTGAATCTCCTAATTCCGAACCTGACAATTCACCTTCTGATCCAGATGATGAATCCAGTCCACCTGAACCAAATACTCCCGCTCCTACCCCAAGGAAACCTACTAGACCTAAATCAAGCAAACCTAGATCTACTCCAAGTAGGAAGCCCACCACAACTACTGAACCTATTGAACCAGATTCAGAACCAAATTCTCAAGAACCAGAAGCTTCGGATTCTGAATCTCCTAATTCCGAACCTGACAATTCACCTTCTGATCCAGATGATGAATCCAGTCCACCTGAACCAAATACTCCCGCTCCTACCCCAAGGAAACCTACTAGACCTAAATCAAGCAAACCTAGATCTACTCCAAGTAGGAAGCCCACCACAACTACTGAACCTATTGAACCAGATTCAGAACCAAATTCTCAAGAACCAGAAGCTTCGGATTCTGAATCTCCTAATTCCGAACCTGACAATTCACCTTCTGATCCAGATGATGAATCCAGTCCACCTGAACCAAATACTCCCGCTCCTACCCCAAGGAAACCTACTAGACCTAAATCAAGCAAACCTAGATCTACTCCAAGTAGGAAGCCCACCACAACTACTGAACCTATTGAACCAGATTCAGAACCAAATTCTCAAGAACCAGAAGCTTCGGATTCTGAATCTCCTAATTCCGAACCTGACAATTCACCTTCTGATCCAGATGATGAATCCAGTCCACCTGAACCAAATAGTCCCGCTCCTACCCCAAGGAAGCCTACTAGACCTAAATCAAGCAGACCTAGATCTACTCCAAGTAGAAAGCCCACCACAACTACTGAACCTACTGTACCAGACTCTGCAGAACCAGAAGATTCGGACCCAGAATCTCCTGATTCCGAACCTGACAATTCACCTTCTGATCCAGATGATGAATCCAGTCCACCAAAATCGAATACTCCCGCTCCTAGCCCAAAGAAGCCTACTAAACCTAAACCAAACAGACCAAGATTTACTCCAAGAAGTAAGCCCACTGATCCAGACGATGAACCAACTTCTCAAGAACCAGAAGCTTCGGATCCTGAATCTTCTGATTCCGAGCCTGACAATTCACCTTCTGATCCAGATGATGAATCTAGTCCACCTAAACCAAACAAACCAGCTCCTACCCCAAAGAAACCTACTAAACCTAAATCAAACAGACCTAGATTTACTCCAAGAGCTAAACCTACGACAACTACCGAGCCTACTGAACCAGATTTTGATTCAGACACTGAACCAAATTCTGCAGAACCAGAAGCTACGGATCCTGACTCTGAGCCGGAAAATTCTAATCCAGCTGATGAAACCAGTCCGCCTAAACCAAAGACGCCGGCTTCTAGCCCAAGGAAGCCTACCAGGCCTCAATTGAACAGACCAAGATCTACTCCAAGAACGAAGCCCACGACGACTACCGAGCCCACTGAACCTGATTTCGATCCAGACAATGAGCCAAATTCTGCAGAACCAGAAGCTACGGATTCTGAATCTCCTGACAGTGAGCCTGACAATTCACCTTCTGATCCAGATGATGAATCTAGTCCACCTAAACCAAACAAACCAGCTCCTACCCCAAAGAAACCTACTAAACCTAAATCAAACAGACCTAGATTTACTCCAAGAGCTAAACCTACGACAACTACCGAGCCTACTGAACCAGATTTTGATTCAGACACTGAACCAAATTCTGCAGAACCAGAAGCTACGGATCCTGACTCTGAGCCGGAAAATTCTAATCCAGCTGATGAAACCAGTCCGCCTAAACCAAAGACGCCGGCTTCTAGCCCAAGGAAGCCTACCAGGCCTCAATCGAACAGACCTAGATTTGCTCCAAGGAGGAAGCCTACGACAACTACTGAGCCTCCTGAACCTGATTATGATGTAGACTATGATTATTCGGAACCAGAAGAGCAAACTGAGCCAGAAACTACACTCTCAAATCCACCTGTCAGATCACCTAATCCACCCAAATCAAACAACCGACCTACCAAGCCGACGAAACCGAAACCAGTCTCCACGACGCCTAACGCAAAGCCCGGTAAATCTAATCCAGCTGCCACTTCCCCTAAAACTGAATCAACGCCAAAGAAACCAAGCTCTCAAAAACCGAGTTCTGGAGAACCAACCAATCCGTTCGCAATACCTTCATTAGATGCTCGTTTCAGTCCAGAAGAAGACGAAACCGCAGGTCCCAGTAAAAAGCCGAAAACAGAATCGAACGAACCCGATAATAATCAATGGGCGAATCCGAGCTTTGGAACGAATCCGGTATATCCGACATTCCCAGAATTCCCTACGTTCTTTATGCCATCCTACATCCCGAACTTCCCGAATTTCAATCCGTATGATCCCAATTCAAACGTCGACGGCGCGATGGACAACGCTAACAGCAATACATGGACTGGTGCCAACAACGGGGGTGGATTCGGGTCGTCTTTCGCCTCTGCCAGTGCATCCGCTGGAGCTTCCGCTGGTGCTGGAGATTACAATCAACCGCCATTAGTCGTGCGGAGAGGGTCCCCCGGAGACGCAAATTCAGCCAACGAGCCGAACATGGTCATGGGATCAAATAACGCACCAGGCAGTATAGCCGACACACCTAACATGGCCAACGTGCCGAATATGGCTGCTAACGCGGGAACTTATAGCAATGTTGGAGTTGGAGGAGGTAATGTTCAATCGGAGAGCAAATTTGAAGACAGCTGAAGACTATCGGATGAATGCATGCACTGTGATGATTGATCCATACGCTGATATCAGACTTATCAAAATTGATACAATTCATAATAACGGAAATTGTATCAATTATTTATATAGGCAACAAGATCTTAATTAGATATCATCATACTTATTACAGTACATAAAATGTGTGTATGTAAAATCGAGAATTGGGGAAGAAACGAAGTAATTCTTTATTTTTATTTTTTTTATTATCGCTATACGCTGCAAGGCCATACAACTTCTTATCGTTAGACATTACGTGTTACATTTGTGCAAACTGCTGTAATAGAAATATGTATAGTAATTCATTAGAAATTCATTGCACTTCATTGTTTAAACCAAAATCAATTTAAAAAACTGATTTTTTGTACGTTTTCAGAAGAAATGTATTTGTATGTATTAAGTTCCTCCTTTATAGGTTCCCCATTCCCGGATCCGAGTTTATTCGCGTTCCCTGGCAATTTTGACAATATTCAACAACAAATGGCAAATAATTTTAAGCAATGGCAAGATCAATTTCAGAAACAGCAACAAGCGTGAGTTGGAGACACTTAATAAACCTTTAACTTACTCTAGCTATTTGATATCCTATCTGGCTGGCCTATAACATGATTCCAAAATGAAACACAGGATCTTCGACGCAACCAATCGTATAGCTTCGGAGGGATCTTCTCTACCCGGTGCGCATACTGCTTATTCTGCTATTAATTTGGGACCAGGCGGTGGTTACCAAGCCGGTGCAATCAATCCGGTGAGTTTTATAAAACTATATTACTTGCACACAATTATTTTATATATGAAATTTTAATGCTGAATAGATTACACTGATGAGTTTAAAGAGATTCTGATTTTAAATACTTCATTCTTGTTGCTATCTATTAATCATTCTAGATGTTCGTAAAAACGTATTTCAGATTACTCAATGAATCACGTTGTTACTTGTCATTTTTTATTATTTTCCCCTGTGACAAGAGATAGAAGAAAGATTTTCTATTTAAATTTTCAGGTTGGACCAGGAATAGAATCGAGATTCGGTGAGGACTTACCTCCACCCTCTGGAAACAGTTTTGGAGTTTTCTCCAGTTCTAGTTCTCAGACCCAGGTTGGTCCGGACGGGAAAACAATTTCTCGCAAATCGTCGACTACAGGTGTCAATGACAATGGGAAAATTACCTTCCGAACAGTACACGATTAAAAGATTTTAATCGAATCTACATAGGCCTTAACCATTTTAACGGAACATTTACAATAATAAATAATAATTTCCAATATTTAAATGTAAAGTTATCTGTAACCCAGGGTTATAAATAATATTTTGAATTATCTACTATATCAAATACAATTAAGTGATCGCTATAAAAATACTCATTTTTTATATATGAAGAGCATGCGATTATGAAACAATTAATTGCATTAAATAATGAGTCCTGTGCTTAAGTTCAAGTCCAAAGATTATCCATTTGCCATTCCATAGACGATAGTCCCGTNCAATGACTATTTTAATATTTTCTTTATTTACTTAATCTATATACGTATAAGTACGCGCGCTGATTTAAATTCCCTTTTGTAAGAAAGTCGGTGAAATAAAATATTCTTATACAGTGACAGAATTTGTATTTTATTAAGCACAATACATAAAAATCTGTAAAAGGAAAATATCGAACACCTTTTACCTTAATAGCTATTCTATTAAGTTTTGCTAAGTGGTGGTTCGATTTTATCATCAACGACAGGCTTAATCGGAGGTATTAATTCGAAAGTTCTTCCACCTTGGTACCAAGGTTCACCGCCTTCATAGCGAGTCTGAATCTAAAGAAATTCATTATAACTTTTACGTAAGCACGAATCGTTCATGTAATATGAGTAAAAAATGCACTATATAATACGAACTTCTCTTTTACATTCTCAAATTTTGATTATGCATTCTTATAAAAAATTATTAGCTATATTAATCATTCGAGGTAATTATATTTACCTGTGGAATGTTATGCAACTCTATTGGTCGTGAGTGATGAAGATTAACAATTTTTTCTACACCACGAACTCCATCCACAATTGGAATATCATCCGTTTTCGAATTAATTAATTTTGTTATAAATTTAAGATGCACATCAGTTATGATGTTACCTTCATCATCTCGTTCAGACGACACAGAGACATTACAAATTCCGTTTTTACACTTGTCTACATCCGACTGTGTTTCATTATCATTCATAGTAATTTGAATATTATTAATAACTGTAGGCTGTCTCGAAGAATCATACTGTAAAATATTTTTACATGTTTTTACCCAACATTATATCCATACTTCCTGTTTTACGATTTATTTTATGATGCTAAATGTACTTCATGTTAAAAATTATTACTTACAATTTGACTTCTTCTCTTCATACCATTTGGTTTAGAAAATTCTTCGAACGATTTAAAAAATCGCGAATCAATTTCTTGACGATTAATTTCATTTAAATCTTCTATACTTTTCCCATTCTCAAATGCAATCTGTGAAGAAACATCTGTGCACGATATCAGATTTCTTGACACTAGCGTCAAGACGAGTATAAAACTGTTTATTCGTTTCTCCATTGTTTGTCTGACTGACACAATTTTGCGCGTATTGAGCTTGAAGTTGTTATGCAAAGAAACAACGAGGCGAGGGAAGGATAAAGATTCAGACAGGATGTGTATAGTATAGTATAGTAATAACAATGATCGCACACGTGTAAGAAAATTGCAGTGACCTCCGTGGAACGGACTCCGCAGAATTCCACAGAAAAGGAAGTCTCAACCCGTTGAAAACGATCGCAGTTGATGAACGGACAGGAGTCGGAGGTCTTAATTACTTCCTGAAGAGTTATCTAAGATGAGATCGAAAACTGACGTCAAGCATTTTGGCGTTACGACTAATTAACGCGAATTTATGACCGTCGGTTATTATATGGAAATTGAAAAGTAGAATAACACATTATTCAACTAAAGTGCACAAACCTTCACGCATTTTTTATCCATTTCATTTCTAATAAGTTCAGTCCTGTGATTGGTCGCCTTAAACTATCATGTTTCATTTATTAATCAATTTTTTATAGAAGTTAGCAGGAACACAAGTCTTAATATTGTAAGCTATTAAAAATGTATTAAATCAGAAGTGTTTCTTATTGTATAGAATTTTAAAAATTAGTATTGGAACACAAGGAAATTTTGAAACTTAAAGACGTATGAGATGCGCAATTTCGCATCCATTGAACACAGCCCCTCGGTATTTAAACTAAAAGGACGCGAGACGCGTGAATGACATTGTGTTGCTCTTTTGACGAGAAAGGTAAAGAATGACTGTTCTGAAATGCACCCGCCGTCGCTGTGATCGCAGTCGGTACATACACGAAGATTGAAGCAATTTTAAATTCCCTCGTTTACATCCAACGTTTGGATAAGCCTCTGTGCAAACGAAGGGTCGCGGGAGCTCATTGAAATTCATTAAAACCCTCGTTGCATCCATTCACTATTGGGAGGTTCCTTCAAACGTTCATTCCGACTTAATCCGAATTTAATAACGACGCAACAGCACGTGATAAAGTTTTTTCAATCGTATTTAATCCTACGTATCTTTCATCATCTCATGTGTTCTATTTTATGTCAAACTAATAATAACATCATAAAATTAATTATAATTGCACATATAAATAGATAAGTAAAGAAAACTATTCGTTAATTACGGAAAGTGGTATTTTAATTATGACATCAATCAGATTATACTTCATGAAGAATTATTTTAATGATAATGATAAAAAACTACATACCTTCACTATTAAACAAAATGCCTAATAACTCGAGGCAATAGAGTGGCTTCTATTTTAAATGTCCTTGTAATTTTGAATTGATTCCTTTCGTCTAATTATATCCATAAACTAGGGAATGAAAAATGAAGCAAACTTGTATGGGATAGGAAACGAAAGAAATTTATCGGTCACATAACTCAAGGGGTCCCGACAAAAGTGGTCCTTTTATCACGGACGATGTATCCGATTACACGCGAAACAGAATCGGTGGGGAGACACCAGAAAATTAGACACGGACTCATCTGTCATTTTAAACAAGACGTCAGGGAGACCACCATTAATTTTGTCACCCGACGTTCCCTGGTCTCGTCTGGCAGACTCGGCGTCGTCGTACAACGCGACGCCACGGTGCAAGGTGCACGAATTACAGGACTCGTTTACGAGACGATATCTCACGGTTTGATGAACGATTTCCGAGAAAACAAAAACTCTTTCGGTCCTCCCCTAGTGTTCTGTTGCTTCAGCCACGATGAAGAACCGCCAAAAATAACCGGTCCAAGAAATCAGCCGTTCTATGTACCATAGTAGCAGCTTTCAAGGGTGTCAGGTCTTGTTTCTCACGCAATCTGGTTTTTACTCAAGAGTTTTTTTACTCCTCGTTGTTATACGGAAATACGCAAATGCATTTAAAACAGCCAAGGAAAGGATTATTCATTTCCCAGTAATGAAAATACCAATTTTTATTGTATATCAATCGATTTATTATGTTTGTAACGTTTACTATTTGTACATTACATTTTACGTTCACTATGTACACATTTCTCGCCAATGACGATTCTCTATTTGAGGGACTGAAAATCGAAACAGTTAACAGATTAATAAAATTTCTTCTATATTCAATTTTACAACAGATACTTTCCTTAAAGTTGAATCAACAAAATATACATACATCATATTAATCTTTAGAAAATAACTAATTTTTATAAATGAAATATGTGATTAAATATATTAGAAAAATTTGCATACTGTTACGGTTCCCAGTCCGCTATTTATATCTAACGTGCAGACATACGCATGTACATATATATGTAGATATATACAAAAATACAAAAGGAGACATTGGCACACTCGAAACACTCATCCTGTGGCAAGCGAAGCGTATCACATCGTTTAAAAATATCCGACACTCATTTTTTCCCTCAATTACACGGTTTCCTGAGCACGGAATTGGCAGTTTAGGTTCATTCAGGATTTGGCAGTTCCTTCAAATACAGGTGCTACGAAATGGTATTGCAATTCATTGAACAGAACAATGGAAGCATATACTAGATATTCGGTTCAGTCTTAACGTAGAAACTTTGTGCATTGTAATAAGCCAATTTCTACCGTGATTTGTTAAATACCTGTTTGTACCTACTTTTAATACATTTAAGACCGACTTATATGGAAAACTCTATAAAAACGAGCTTTGCGACAAGGACTTTGCCTTTATTGTTTTAAAAAGTACAAGCAGAACTATAAATACGCAGCAAAATTATAACAATTTTACATTAACAACAAATGCATTTTATAAATACTTTTATTGTGATTCACGTACTTCATTTAAATCGCGACTATAAAATTGTTACAATTTTGCCAGCTGCGTATATTTCTATAATCACGAATATTTAGTTGACTGAAAATCTTAACATTGCCGTTTAAGTATCACTAACTATGTACACGTGCTCCCAATAATTTTATTTGTATTCGTTGGGAGATCGACGGTCTTCTTCCTACGAGCTGCCCAGCGGGTTCGGGCTCGATATGATTAAACGTATCTGGTCAATTGAGTGTGGAAGTCTTGGAGGCAGACGATCAGCTGACTAAACGTCGGCCTTTCATCCGCGGACATTGCCCAACAGTAAGCCATAACGGCGAACAACTCGTCTGGACAATTTATTGGTTGTGCCAGTCTGTATCCGTTTCTGAGGTAAGTAGCCATCTCGAACGCGTCTACTTCTACGTACGGTTGCTGCGCCAACGTTGTCAGCTCCCATAACAATACTCCGAATGCCCACTGAAAAAAATAAAATAAAAACGTTTCTCAATTCGGTGGTAAGCTCGATCAATCAATTTTCTCTAATATCTCAATGAATATTATTATATCATTTATTAATCATAATTATGAAAGAAAATTAGCTAAATCACAAAAATAGGAGAAAACTTACCACGTCGGAGGCAGTGCTGAAGGTTTTATTAACCAGACTCTCAATGGCGAGCCACTTTATCGGACGATTCTCATTGTCGCCGAGACAATGATAGTCTTGTGGAAACAGGTCCCTGGCGAGCGCGTTGTCCGTGATTTGAACCCTCAGATCATCGTCGACGCTAATAAAATACAACAACGATCGTTAAACGTCTCCGAGGCGTACTAACCGCTAATATAAATGTCGAGCGCGCGCGCTTGTGAAACAGCGATGCGACTATCCCGGTTTAAATTTGTCGATGCTTTCGCGTGGTAACGGCAAAAAGCCGCATAAAAAGAAGCCATGAACAGGATCGTATTAAAGCCGTCCCCGCGAGACGAAACAGTAGCAGACGGTAATTAAACAGTCTCGAGCACGCGTATCTATTGCTAATTAATGCTGCACGGCCAATTAATTTCGTAACGAAACGTAACGACCTCACTCTTTACGATTGACGCATCGCTGGAATATTCAATCCGCTGTCTTCCATGAAACGGTCGATGACAGGAATGTATAAATACGAACAATCGGAATTTCCGTGTTCAACGGTTTCATGCTTTTCACTGAAGAATTTAACTTAATTATGCATAAACACAATCTTTATGCAATTCCATGCAATCATATTTTTATACAATAAAAAAAACAATTTTCTAATATTATTTTTCAGAAATGAAAGAGTTCTATAAATTGTTTGTCTGAATGTTCTCACGAAATGAAATAATCTCTTATTTTACTTACACACAATTTCTGGCGGCCAAATCTCTATGCACGAGCCGCTTCCTATGAAGATACTGGACCCCTTTGGCAGCTTGAAGTGCCATTTCCACGACTTCTTGTGTGGTGAGTGCTCTCGGTGGCCCTTCGCTGCTCAGTTTGCACCTCAGCAAGAACCTTTTCATGTTCTTGTAACCGGTGTGCGGGTACAAGAGAAAGGGTGCGCTTCTGTCTTCGATGGAGACACCCAAAACGGGTAACAACGCTGGATGACTTAAACCGTACAGCGCTAAACCCTCTCGTAAGAGAAGAGCGACCTTCGGAAGAAAGTTAAATACCGCGTTAATTGGGACACTTTATTATGAAACAATGCGTTTTCACGCAACGTGTTAGAAAATGAGGAAAACAGAACGCGTTAGAAAATGAAGTGAATGAAATATTTAATTAAAATGAAGAAGTGTTTACTGAGAAAATAATTACAAATTATTATACATACAATGTAGCAGAAATTAATTCATTTAATTAAGTAAACAGCGAGTATTTGCAGACATTCCTCTCGGCAGTATATTCAAATAATTAAAATGATGTATTTCATATTGTACGCGAATTTGCACGAAACGAGCAGGAAGCATGAGGAGCATTGGCATATAATTACACGACGATATTGCTCGGCGCTAATTACCGGCCAGTCGAGAGGAGGCCCGGAACAATTTGATTAATAATGTTGAAAGAACACGAAAGTTAATTGGCGGACGTAAAGAACCGGAGAATCGGTTTACCTGCGATTGCGATGCATGCTCGGCAGCAGTCTTCACTAGGACATCCCTCGGGGAGGACGCGCCCTCCTCGTGATAACTGCCTCTGTACACGCGACCAAATGTGCCCTCCATCTCGATGCTAAGGAGGCGTACCCTGCATCTGTAACGCAACCGCGAGATTACCTACCTACCCCGTGATATTCATGACCGTTGCGGACTGTCTATAATTATTCCGTACAAACTTTGAAGTTGTTTTACGAAATTATTGGGAGCCTGAATCGGCCAGGGGACGAGCAGCAAAACGGAAGCGACCCGAGTAATCGGAACAGGTTAACGCGTTTAATATTCTCTTTTCTTGTTTATGTTCACACAGACGTTTCATCTACTGTTGTGTGCGAAAAGTATGATGCCTCTGTTTCTGGTGTATTATTTTATACATTTATTAATGACTGAATAAAAAAAACTCTTTATGAATTTGCTTTGAGTATTTCATTAATAAGTCTTTGATAAATCATGTATAGTTACTTGATTAATCGCTATATTGAGACCGTCTTTATAACATCTGCAGAGCGGCTGCTTGAAACCGTGATTTGCGTTTCATTTACGGGTTAATAGAGCATCGCAAAAGGAGAAGTCTTTCCGATTCAGAATTTATTCAACTAATTAACTTTATTACGAGTACGAATATACTTTCAAACCGAAAAAATTGAAGGTTTATACATGTAATTAAAAAATATAAAAGAGACATTTATTTAATTCAATGACTTGAATATTTTAATCATTCTTTATTCATGACGATTGATCGGAATGTAATTGTATTTACCTTTGGACAGTGATTTCTTGAATTCGTTCGTGTAATTCTCTGCTGGGTCGATCGTCCAGCCTTCTATAAGTAGAGGTAGAAGTTGCAGACGCAGGTGGTGGTGTTTCGGGTGACAAAAAGGTTTGTGCAGGTCCGACTCCTGTTCCCCTTTCTACGCTGCACGCCGAACTGAGTCCCCTCGATTCCCTTCAAAATTAAAGTTCCAATAATTTCACAAATGTTCAATTTAAGGATTTCAAATTCCCATAATTAGATAACGAAAAATATTGATCTACATTTAAATTTGTCAAAAAAAGTAAAGCTTCGTTAGTGATTCCCATTAAATCATTGAACGAATGCGGTGGTCTTGGGTAAAGCACTTACTGAAGAGGATCCCGATGCCTCCGGGTCTTCTTGTCGCGGACGTAGTAAGCGATAACGAGTACGAAAATGGCAGCGATGAAGGCACACGCGCAACCGATCGCGGCGTAGAACACTTGTCCGCCAGAAGTGGATCCGGAAGCCGCTACAAGGACTTCCTCGGCCTCTATGTTGCTCTTATCTTTCAGACAGATTTTCTTTCGTCTGAAGTCCAGACTCGTCGTATTTCGTCGCGACAACGACACGTTTATCCGGAGGCTCAGATCGACTTCCGCATCGTACGGTCCACAATGCAACGCCAAAGCCCAGGTCTGTAGACCGCCAACAGGAATTTCGCCGGCTTGTGATATGTTTAGAGAACTGCTTAGAGCTGACGGGTTGCTAATGTCCACGGACATCGTGTACGGCAACTGGAAATGGAGAAATTTCACAAATATTTCCTGGATCGCTGCTAGCTCACATTATTACTATCATTATCGCTATTATCGCGTACACGAATACGTACAGCAAATTACTTCTTGTCAGTTATAATCCTAATGTACGACGAGATTAAAAATAGACTCAGTCGTAGTGTGTATTTAAAAATAAACGAGGCTTCGTGAATCTAATAATAATTCAATTATGTTAAAAAGATGTTATCGAGTAACAGTTTAGTCGCGCGGATGTATTGCAATTTCACGAGCCTCGACATGTCCGACTAAAATAAGTACAAAATGAGCTTGCATTTCCTTGCCGTGACACGCGCTTATCCACGTGCATTTCGAGCGAAACGAGCAATTTCCCGATGGGTTCACAAGAAAAAATATACAACAAAATGCAAATCACGGAGTTTTCTAATTTACATGGAAAACAACTATTTGCATCGCGCGATAGTAGCAGAAGGTACGAAGTTAATGGAAGACAGAAAAGGAACAAGCGAAGAATAGATTCTTTGTCGAAAATTGTAACAAACGGATGTCAGAAATGCGAAGGACGGAAAGGAGTTACCACTTGCTCGTAATCACGCGAGCGTTGAACCTTCCTATAATCTGAAACGTACCATTCTCGGAAGACAATTTACGTCCAGCGGAGAGCAAAGTGAATCTAGAGGACCGCGGGCGAGTGGAGCCCGTGGAGAAACGGAAGAACAAGAGAGATTCGGTCGACTGGAAAAGGAAGAGGAGGAAAGAAAGGCTAGAGGAAAGAAAAAACGAGAAAGTCGGTTTGAAAAGTCGAAGGGAACTCGTGGTCTGATCACCGGCTGGTAACGCTGATCGGTTTCCAACTATTTAAACGCTCCAAAGCTCCACCTCGTCGACGTAGCATCTCGTCACTACCACGCCACGCTGTACGTAGAGCTACAGATACTCTAGCCAGCGTTACGTGCGCGTTACTTCGGCTTGCGGTCTTTTACGACTGTACGAGCGAGACCAACTACGTGCTGACAGTGAATGCCTCTGTAAACCGGCTAACCATTCGACTTAAACTGTCAGGCATCTTTTTTTTTATGATTTCCTTTTTTATTTCTCCCTTCGTTTTCTGTACGCGTCAAAACAGCCCGGGGACTTTGCTGGGAACTCGTCAAACGACGCGGCTGCGTGAAATTTTACGAACATGCTCCCTTGAAAAGGATTCTCTCTTCTTAGAAATCGTCACATGTTTCACTTACTCACAACGTAGCATATGTCGTTTGTGAAACATTGATTACTGGAAATGGAAATTATTTTTATCCAAGTATTCTAAACTTCGGAATGATTATAAACAACTGTTATGTGAAATTCATGTATCAATGGCGCTGGACTTTACCTCAGCACTGCAGCTAGTAATGAATATTTTTCTTTACGTTAGATAAATTATATTTTGTGCAACTACGCGATTTTGTACAGTGACTCATTGCTTAGTGGGGTGGTGAACTGCTTCTTGGTGATCTCGTCGAGACCTGGGTGGTTAGATTGACAAAGTGGCGGCGAAAAGTGGACAGAATGCGGCACGGTGTCGGATTGACTCGTCGACGATGCGCGGAAGGAGAGGAGAGAAAAAAAAAAGGAACAGCGAGTCGGGAGTAGGACAAAGTGGTCCGGCCACTTCTTCGAGTTGTCTCTGATGGAAAGAAGGAAGGAAGGAAGAGGTGGAAGAAGGAGACGAAGAAGAGACTGATGACCAGCGTCGAGACATCCGTCACCTTTGCGACAAAACCGAGTGTCCCGAATGTCACTGGCTGCCTGCCAATCAAACTGACCACGTCTGAGGTATATCGAACCCTTCAGTGTCCTACAGATTCATCCTAGTACCGATACACAAAGATTTATCGTACAGTGGAGTAATACAAGAGTGTCTTATTTATAGATTATATAAATTCTCTTCTTTGGTGTCTTATTAAGCAATTACTTTATATGTATAAATGAGAAGTTGAATTTTTTTTAACAATATACAACGCAGTTATTAGGAATTCCTGATAATATCTATCATGCTGATTACTTTTCAAATAATGAAGAAAATCTCCCTCTTGACTTTATTCTCCATTGCACAATGCGAGTTAATCTGTTTGTACCGTCTGCGATCGAAAAATCCCAGCGAAATAGCTGACGGAAACAATAATCGGGACAATTTAACAAAACTATTCTCGTCGATGAAGAAATCCCAATAAACTCGTTTCGACGAGACAAAGAAGACTAGCAAGAGGTAAAGTGCCGCGCCGCTGGTTCTGAATCCGAGAAACGGAAAGGTCGGACATGCCTCGATAATCCGGATAAGCACGTCGCGTAAAGGGCGCGAAAGGAACATAGAGAACAAGGGAAGAGGGTTCGATCTGGGTTGGCGACCGTTCAAGCTTGAAAAGTCCTTCATCAGAGATCCGTCCGAAGAGACGGCTTCTGTCTGCGAAGATCTCGCCAAGACGCGGATTCCCTAACGAGCAAATTCAGCATTGGTTCTCGCTCCGCTTCGGACAGCTTTGATCTCGTCAAAGAAATGTAAATAGGGAATAAAGCACGCAGAAGACGCGGAGGTCGCGCTCTAAGAGGTCGTGACACCTCTTCTCATTAAGGGTACCGGGGCGCGGTGTTCTTGCGCTTCAAAGTCTCGCCTTTTAAACCGGCCGTCTGTCCGTGCTCGAGATTTGCCGCCGTTTCAGAAGAATCATCGTGGAGGAATTACATCAAAGGTTCGCTCTCGCTCCTCTTTGTATATAGAACTTACCGGTCTGCCGGCGAGATTTTCCCAAGTGAAATGCAGCTTGTGAACCTGCGCTGGCACTGGCACGACGAACTTAATGGCGTACTCGTTAATAACGCCCTCCCGTACGTAAAATAATTCCGCTTGGAGACCTGAAATGAAATAACAGTTTATCGATCAATTAAAATCTTCAAACTACAAACATTAGGAATGAGTGACTACAAAGTACAGAAGATTTTTATTGTTACAAAAACAAAATACGTTCCACAGTCTTTTCTATCTAATTTAATCAACTGGAGCCCTGAGTGCCATTCGATTTCCCTTTGTAGAAGTCTTATCAATTATTAGTAGAATTCACCCTATGTGATTTCGTCCAGGAAACGAAAGCAATGATGTCATTACGAAAAGGGGGAGAGACAATAGGTGGTCGATTTCGTGAGTAAAAGACGGTCAGGTATATCAAGGGTGACTCAGAACTGTGTAATCGTGTTAAGATTAAACCCACAAATCTAGCTGTCACTATTCATAGCCGTGTCATGATAATAAAATATACTATTACTGCCACAAGTATCTTAACTATGATTTTTGTTTTTCACGGAATGGCACGATGTCTTGAGACCTTGGTAAGTGTAATCGACTGTTCAGACACGAATACAAATCGTGTGAACCGAAGCGAATCCGAATGGAGACCCTGTTTCTCTTTACAATTTACCGAGTGAGAAGGGATAAGTGATGGTAGTACGAGCACATTGTCTCGGAAAGAAGGTGGTCTCGCTCTGTCGAGTCGTCGGGCTTGTTATACGTTTGCTATATATTTTTCCAACACTTCGGCGAGGTTTAGAGAAACATTTAAATGTCTACTGCGTTTCTTCTGCGCTAATTAAAACTGCGTTATGTATCATCTTGTATTTTTCTTGTATCTCTGGAATACGTTCTTGCCTTCTTCATTCATACAATTTTACTTTGCATTTCATCAAAAAGATGAAAGAACGTGAACATGTTAGGGAGATAATTATAATAATATTACTAGATTAAGGATTATGTCGTGACTATTGTTATTTCTTTCACCTTTAAGGAACCTGAAAAAGATTTTAAATACCATTCACGTGAAACAGTTAACAAATACTCCCAGGACAGCGCAGCAACACCTGGATGTTACGCTACCGAGTAATCCGCATTCAGGAGCCGCAAGGTTACGTGGGCGAGACGGTAAAGATGGGAGATCAAAAGGAATAAAACGAAAGAAAAGCGAAACGGAGGTAGGAAGATCGCGCGGTAGGGAAAAGGACGCGAACAGCAGGTCGCGTCGCGTCGTCGTGTACCCCCTTGGAGGGTTCCTATGCTCGTTGTATCAGATAGGACGGTTAACGAGGCACGAGTCGGATTTTTAAGTCACCCGAAGACAATGTGCCGTGGCCCCCACAAT